TATTACGAGGAGTTTGGAGCGAACATCGTGGGCAGCACGGCGAGGAACAACTTCAAGGTTGATCTGCAACAGCAAAACAATTTCACTAACACTATACATTTTTTTTAGTTTAAATAACAACCCATAGGATCACCCTTTAGGCTTTTGCACAACCTTGTTGTGTAATTATAAGTCCTAACACGTTAGGATTCCGATGTTACCGTGCGGTACGGTGTAAATCCTCCTATTTTTTTGCTATTTGCACAATCTGATATTGTGTAAACGTAAGTCCTGAATCCTGAATAATTTACAGGATTGAAATATCAAATAAACATCACTTCAAAGACATAAAGCTAAACATTATGATAGTTGGGACATCCCCGGGGTCTCTCTTGGATCTGTAATGTCTCCTATTATTCATTCCTTTGAATTCCTAAAATAATTGTTCCTATTTTGAACCATTCCCATTTGATTTTCCCATGTCCAATCGTGAAAACCTAAACTTTGAAATCTTGAAGGCAAAATCACCTGATCTTAATCGAGAGTTATCTTAAGTGATTTCGATCATTTAAGATGTAATTAACTATAGGGGTTTGCCTCTATAGGAAACCTGGAACCCAGATAAAATAAACTCTATCTAATTTTTTTATGTTAGGTAAGGGAACTTGTTGGCATTTTTATAAAATATTTCGCGGACCAAACGGATGTCACAAATTCTTTAGTTTAAGTGATTGAATTCCTATTACAAGTGATATATTTATTCTTCAGGATAAGTGTATTACTTGTAGTATTGTATTCAATCATCTAAACTATTTAAAATGTGAGACCCATTTGGTCTCACCTATTTTAAAATTAAAATGTTACTTTTTGAAGCAACCCTTGGTTATTTTTTGTTTTTTATTTAATGAGAAGGATTTGACCAACGAAGTTAAAACGGCCGACAGACCAGTTTTATATTGAATACTTATGAGGAATTAAAATTATAAGTTATCTATATTAATATAATTGATTGCAAATCGATAATGATATTTTTTTATGAAACATTTTGCAAATTCTCACAAATTTTTATTCATAATTTGTAAATAATTTAATTACATAACTTAAAGTAGTTTTATAATTCAAAAATATAATATAAGATTTCACCTAACAAAACTCTCCTTGAATATTTCTTCAAAATTAAACTCGGTTTAGGTAGAATTAAAAATTTATGCATAAGAAAATCTAAATAGAAAGTTACCTAGCTCGATTGACATTTTCGTGATCAAACCTGCAGAAAGCTGTCTCCCTCGCTCATGCATTGTTTGCTCGATCCCACTCATTGACGCACCTACCTGCGATTGGCTGAACTGACACAACATCTTGCTCGCAATCACCACCTTAGCTTGCGCTTTAACTATCGCATGAGACCCGCACGCCATCCATGTGCTTCTCCCTCGCACCCGCTTGAACCATTTGTGCAATTCATTTTTCAGTTCTGCATTTTGTCTCCCTTTGATTTGTTCGATTTTCCCATTGTCGCTAGTGTTACGCCCCTAGAACTGCTCGAACATTTGAGTCAAATTCAGCGCTCGGTTCTGAGCATTGCAAGCCAATCAAACTTCTCAAGGCATAGTTATGTGAATTCTCTCATGTCTGCCCAACTAGCATGACCTCATGGCCCTCGCACTAAAATATCACCCTATTCGCCTTCTTCATTACCCACTCTATCTACCTATTTTGCTCAACTCTTTTTTTTTTATCCCACAAGCTAGCTAGTTTCGTGTGTCACCCAATCTCCGCCTCACCGACATAATATCACAAACTGGCTAGCATCAATTCAGTCTAATTAGGGCCAGTCAGTTCCATGTGTATATGTACATGTATGTAAGTATATATATATATATATATACATATTTGTATTTGTGTGTGTGTGTGTGTTATTAAAATGCACTGCGAAGTAAAAGGCTTTATTTTTGCTTCAAAATGCAATGCGTAAAGCGAGGTGAAGCTTTTAATAACCAAAACGCTAATAGGTTATACAAAACTATTAATATATAAATACATTCATTAAAAATTATAAAATATAAAATATGACATAAAAGTTGATATAGTATGGAAAAAAAAATATGGTACATTACATGACTTGAAGGCAAATATTGAGGGTAAACTTAAAATTTAAAATTTCGAACAATTTTTAATTGTTTGTTACAATAATTAAAAACTTCAAAATTGCAAAAAAAACCTGCAGATTAACTTCAGCGCTTTGAAGCACGCCTCAGTGAAGCGAAGTGGCGTCAAGCACTTCGCTTCGCTATACTCATGAAGCGCGTTTTTAAAAACAATGATATGTGTGTGTGTTTGTGTGTGTATACATACATATATGTAAGTCTGCATACATATGTGAATGCATGTATACATATATGTAAATGTATGTGTGTGTATATATATATATATATATAATATAGGCTATTTAATAGGCTGGCATATCTTAATATCTTATGCACTCCTAATTACAAAACTATGACTAAAAAATAAAGAAAAAGAGAACATATTCAATAATAAATTTAATTCCAAAAGGGATCCCAAAGACTGAACTAGGTTCAAATCAAACAGGATGATCAAATCATAGAATCTTGAAAGAAATAACTAATAAAAAACCATATCCTACATCACAAACTCAAAGCTCAAACACCGATTTAGAGCAATAACAATATCCTCAAAAGAAAAAAAAAAGCTGATCCTAGGCATTGCACCTAAGATCTAATTAAGCATGAAGGTTTACGTTCAAAGTAAATCTTAATCAATATATTTGAGCCTGGATAGCTCACCTTCTCTCAGTAAAAAATCCTTGGGATAATTAGATAAGTTCCCGTTAAAAAATCCCATGTTGCTATGGATCCTTTTTTTAAACTCCAAAAGTGCCAAAGAAGGTATCACCTAAGCTTATGAGCACAGTCAAAACCCACAAAAGGTTCATAAAAAAATGAATAAAATTCTACGAAACTTCTATTGATTTTCTTAACTAGCAAAACCCAATTAATTAAAAGACCAAGAAACTACAAATGGCAGTTTTTAATTGTTAAAAAAAAAGCTATTAGTGTAATATAGATGACAAATAAAGATTAAAAACTATCTATCAAGGAAAGTAAATACTCTCAAGGAAATAAGCTCAAAAGCATCATAATCTAAAAAGTAGCACAAATAAATAACATCATTGAAGAAAGCAATCTATAGTCATAAACTGGAGCAGTTGAACATCTTGAAAAAGCTGCAACTTAGTGGAAACAGAGAAGCATACCAATCCACTTAGCCTTACAGAAACAGGTCGATTTTCTAAAGCGTCCATTACTTTCAAAGAAATTTCCTGCTTAGAGTAAAGGATAGTTTTAAAAAAAAATGGAAAATTCACCTATAATTAAACATTTCTTCAACTAAAAAAAAGAGAGGGAGAGAGAGAGAGAGAGAATACCTTTAGAATCTTAGCAGCTGTAGTAACACGATCCTTATTCCAAAGCTTCAACATAAGCACAGTCAAGTGAAGAGTTTGAGGTTTAGGAAATATGGACCTGTCAATACCCATTGCTGTATATAATAGGATCAGTTTCTACTCAAACAAAAAAAAAAAAAAACCAAAAAAAAGGCATAAAATATTTTAGAAGAAAGCCAACATTAATAATACAAATACAATCTTTAAATGAAGAGGATAAATTAAATCATTCCTAAAAGGAATACTCTTTGGCAGGACAATTGGAATATTCTTTAATTGTAAAAGACAATTGCTGGACAATTTATAATGAAGAAGTCTGCTAAAGCAAGTTGAGCGATATAGAATTTAGCAAAAAGATACTAAATAGATGCAAATGTCAGCATAGCTAACACACACAAGGACATGGCTGTGAGAAATGAAGAAATATTTAGTTTTACCAGGGAAGTTTACATTTTCTGTTTGAGTGGAAACCCATGCGTATGTGATTGGATGCGGTGCTTTGTAGCAACAAAACCTGATTAAATTAAGAATTGTTGCTTCTCTAAGAAGTTAGATCAAGACAAGATTGCCAGAGACCGCGTGGATGGAATTGGAAGTGAGAAACCCAAAGTTTACATTTTCTGTTTGAGTGATTGGATGCGGTGCTTTGTAGCAACAAAACCTGATTAAATTAAGAATTGTTGCTTCTCTAAGAAGTTAGATCAAGACAAGATTGCCAGAGACCGCGTGGATGGAATTGGAAGTGAGAAACCCTAGTGAAATGCAAAATAGTTGATTAAAGTAGACCATAATTGATGCAGCATCTGATAAGGTAGATGCTTTTAACAACTTTGTGCCCTTGGCATTCATATCTAATTCCACATTTTCATTATTGTTTTCAACTTCAAGCTTAGAAGTGGTATTTGAGGCATCCAGAAGTTTGGAAACATCGTCTTTTTCATCAGAAGAATCATCACCTGAACTACCGTCCATGTCACCAGGGATCATGTTAACTTCATTCAGTACAGATTTCTGAAAGTTCTGTAGCTTCTCTACCAGTTCTGGGTGTATACCAAGCGGAAGAGAGATGAAATGGGAGTAATCCAGATTTGGGCTTTTCACCGCCTGAATGTTGAGATAAGTGATAAGGATAGATGAAAAAATAAACAAAACAAAAAATATAGCAGTAAATTGAGATAAAATTTAAGGAAATATGCCACAAACAACAAGCAATTGCCACATGCATACCCCTACAAAGGCATGATATTTTAACAGCGCCACAGTCAGAAGAATTAATGGAATGGCTTAGTTAACTGAACATAATTAATATTGCATTTTACCTACTGAATGGGATAATTTAATAACAGGACCCATTTGGTTTCTTGTACATAGAACATGTTTTAACATACTTAGAGGCAACCAAATATTGGCCACTATACATGAACAAGTTACTAATAGCTCTAATTTTGCACTTCTTGGATAAAACATTCATGACTTACCAAAAAATCTCCAACCATAATTTCCTTGGGGACTGTTTTGCAAGATGGAAACAAAGCTATGGCCCCCAAATGTGAGTAGTAGTTGGCATTGGGAACATTAAGAGGGCAGTTTTTTGATAAGTTCAGCAGTAGTCACGAATTAAGATTACTCAGCATTGCAGTGCTAGTTCGAAAATACCACTGAAGTCCAGTCAGTTTACAAAGGCAATATTATCATAAGCACAAGCTTTATACTGAAAATTGAGACTATCTAAACTTAAAGAATGGAAAGTTGAGCTTTAGAGGCATCCACCCCAGAATGTAATCTGTAGAACTACTAACTTATTGCATAAGATTAATCATTCCAAAACAAACACAACAAAAAATAATAATAATAAACTAATAGGAAGAAAAGTTTGAAAATTTCAAACTCACAGAAGGGTAAGCTTACTGAAATCATAAAGTGACGTAGAGAACAGCAGATATATACAATCCAAATTCGATATACAATCCAAATTCGAGATCATAATATGGGCTCAACAACTGAGCTTAACAAATTAATTCAAATCATTAGGTTATGGAAAGCAGAAGCATTAAAATGCAACATGCATGATTACCACCACTTTTTTTTAATTTAAATGAATTATAACAGCTTTATCATTCAAACATAAAATTAGGAGGACAGCTAACCTGTTCTAGTACGTTTGTGATTTTTTCAGATGCTTTATTGACATTTTCTACGGATGAACCTTCAATAACTGTGAAAAAGAACTATGAAAAAAAATACTAAAGCAATCTAATAATGAAATAGTAGAGACATAAAGGTAACAGCTTGACAAAGAAAAAAAACACCAAACAGATTCGATGAAATGCCATCAAATCCATCAGGGCAGCTATCAATTACTATGAAAAACTAAATACAAAAAAGGATAATATAACAAAAATAAGTAAATACGGTGCTCAGTAAGTCGCAGGCAGATGGTGTTTCTTTCAGCAATCATGTTCGACCGACAAAACTTTCTAGAATTTACTCGAAAACTGTAACTACAGGATACTATTCTACTCCTTCCAACATATAATTTCACGGCTATGATGATGATTTTCTAGTTTTAGCAATAGCATAAGATTTTGGTCATTTAAAGTCATTTAAGTAATCATGATAGTGGCAGGAGGGCGGAGAAAATAATAAGAGAAGAAACATCTGCATTTATTAGGCACACTAAATTTGCTTAATAAACAGCAAAATTTGAATGAAGAAAATGAAAAAAAAATAGTTCACTGTGCCCTTGACTAAAGAGAAAAAAACTTAAACACTTCTCATTGCGGAATAAATGGAGTGCTTTGCATCTTACCAATAGAATTGTCGCCTTTAGCTGATGGAAATATAATTTTCACACCCGTCTCTCCCTCGATTTGTTTTTGTGTTAATCCCCTGTAGGCAGAAGAAAATATTAACCATTGAATGTGACTTCTCGAAAAACACTCTAGGTCTTGTTTGCCAAAACTTTGTGCATGCAGGATCGTAAGAGGAAATGTGACGGCAGTTGACTTTCCCATGGTGCATGTACACAGTAAATGCCATACCCGAAGTTGGTGATAAAGGATGCAATATAGAAAACTCATTTAAGTTTGAAATTTGAAGTTTTCAGGTTGAACATTGGAGATAAAACAGCAGAGTTCGTTGCATTACCATTTTCCTCTTATAAAACGAATCAAAGGAGCATCAACCTGAAGAAAAGAGTTACATTAAGCAATTTGATGTAGCAAGAATTTCTAGCAAGTTTATGAAAATGAAAAATATGGCTTCAATGAAGAACCAAAAGTATTTTTCAATGTGACAACTAGAAGAGTTAGAAGGAATTTTTTTTTTCTTTCACTATAAAATTATCAGCAAATAAATTCAGTAAAACATCAGGAATTTAAGTTAAGATGCATTTCCCTTTCACCTAATCTCAAAAGAGAAAACTTATGCTTAAAGATATTTCTATAATTCATTTTTTGTAAACTAAACCAACCAAATTGAGCATGTAAAACAATCATTTCCATTTTTTTTCCCTCTCACAACAACATATGATAAATTCTAACATGCTTCAAAAGCTGGCAGGATTTGTGCATTAGACTCTCATCATTGTCCAACATCACAACATCGCATACCTGAAATTGTTGAACCAAGTTCTTGCTTAATTCATTTTCCAGAAAAAATAAAAGCTGTGGACTGAGACCACAAGAAAAGGAAGAAAAATAAATAAAGCCAATTAATTGTCAATGAGCACTGAAAAGGAACCATTTATACAAAGTGTACATAGATAATCATAGAAGATATGCTATTCTGCCATAATTCTTTCAACTAATATTTCAGAATAGCATCAGCTAAAACATACGAAGATGAATTTTTGGTTGAATTTTCAAAAATCAAGCAAAAACTCATTTCTGAAAAACAGTCAATGAAACATCAGTGCAGTCAAGAGGAGCTAAACCCTAACGAACTATTTGGTTGGAATAGTTTTTCGAATGCATCGTATTTCGAATGCAAGGCTATCAAATTTTAGGTGTTTACCTCATGAATTAGCTCAAATCAGACAAATACGGAATATATCATGTAAAAGGCATTGTGCTTGCGAAAAGCACCTACTTTGCATCATGAAATGCTCCATTTCGCTCGTACTCATGCTTATCTCCTCGTCTCAATCTCAAAAGGCATCCCTTGCCCTCACTAGCCCTCACATTCACTAGCCCTCGCATTCATTGGTCGGCTGCTTGCCACTCACATTCGTTATGATTGCTAGATTTGGACGCTTATGAAAGGCCCTCATGCGTTCCAATTATGACCAAAGACCTCCCTCTTACATCCTTAAGCCAAGAATCCCCATATCGTGACCTCCCCCATTCGAATCAACCTCTGTCCTCTCATGCTAGAGAGCCCTAATTTATTTATTTATTTTTTTAAATTTACTTTTAATTAGTTCCAACCAAACAAAATAATCTCATAAAATTCAAAATCACTAAGTTTATGTTACATTGCATTTATAATTCTAGCAATTTTAAATACTTATGATAAAACAACTCTTAAAGTAAATATGCAAACTATTTTTCACACTAGCTCTCTACATCAACCTATAAAAACAGAAGTCTATGTTTGGTTCAAAATATCTCAAGAGAAAGCTAATTAGTCATGGAAAGGGATTCATGAAGATGAACGACAGATTCTCCTTAAGACAGAAAAAACATAAAAGAGATCAAGGACAAAGTCAGACTAAAGTTACAATCATGTCTAATTGGTCATCAGACGTTAAAAATATCATTTTGATTAACATTCTGAAAAATAATCCATATAACAATTTGTTTTTGAAATAAGCAGTGGCATTTGATTAAGTGAATGATGCATAGTATATTTTTGGACTGATTAAAAGAGAGAGAAAAAAAAATTAGAGAGCATTATATTGGTGACTTACCCCAGCACAGAAATGTCCCAACCAAATCAAAGAATATTAGTAAATTCATTCACAACTATTCTTGGGTATCTAATGAGGAAGTTCTTTAAGAAAAAACTCATGCACTGCTACAACAAAATTTGCTATGCACTTTTTAACTCTACATAATATATTGGAAGCTCAACAACTATTAGAGACAATGTTCACTTTCACTCAATACCTTAACCATACATGACTAAAGAAAACGGAGAAAAAAGTAAGGAAAATTATTTTAAATAAAAGGTTTTGGGCTAGTGTTACAGATGCAATAACAACCACATAACTATTAGTTCAAGTTTAGGATGATGAATCCAGATAAAATACAAGCTCTAGTTTTCTTTAAAAAGCAATTGATGTGACTAATGAATTAATATCCCATACCTTAGGAGGAAAAGATGTTAATTATAGAGAGATCTGTGATATCATTGATGAGAAATAGGAGTTTCAGCTCCACCATTGCAAATTTCTTTAACCTTAATTTAGATATATTGAGATGAAGTCCGCCAACCTGGATGTCAAGTTTGGGCTATGCTATTGCATGAATAGATTGACTGCTGACTCAATTAAGAGGGCAACTATTGATATACAGGTTGCTCCATTTAGGAATAA